AAAGTGCTAGGATTACAGGCTTGAGCCACCGCGCCTGGCCTTTAAGTGAAGTTTTTAATAAATTTGGAATTGTGGCTGAGGTTTAAAGCATAGAATGCCATGTATGCCTGTATTAAAAAAAAAAAAAAAAAAAAAAAAAAAAAAAAAAAAAAAGATGCTAGACATTCATGAAGGACTAACATCCATGCATTTACAGTAAAATAAGTCTTGTGCCCATAGTCTACATCCCAACTTTAGTCCATATGTGAAGAAAGAAAGATCCATAACAAGGGTAGAAACTCTTTACTGTGAGTTAGGATTTTTTTTTTAAAAGAGTGTCATATGTAGGCATATGAACATTTAAAGTAGAAGTTTCTCTCCACCTCTTGGGTCAAGCAAGGGGAGGATTCATGTGCATACTCAAGAGACTTGAGTTACTTGTCAGGAGTAGAGACCAACATCTCAGCCCCCAGTCAGCTGCTGCTGAGCTGCAGAAATGTGTAGGCTTGCTCTGCGCTTCTACTTGAGCAGAGAGTGGGGAGAGTATTCTTGGGAGAACTAGACCCATGTCCTCTGGATTTAGGGGGTCAGAAGGGGGTAGGGCAGAAGGATTTGTGCCTTTCATTCACCTGAGACTGCCCAGAGATGCCTGTGTAGAACAAAGACGGGACTGCAGTGGGAATGGCCTAAACTTCTGTCATTGAATTGGACAGAGATTCGTGAGTTTTCCTAAGAACTAAATGGGAAACCAGGAAAGTAATAATGAGCTTGAGTTTCCACCCAAGAGTTCTGGCTCAAAAGAATGAGCTTGCATCCAGAGTACTTGTAAAGAGAATTAAGGGAAATCATGAGAGGTCAGCTGCATGGGGTTTCACCAAGTGAAGTGTGGGCAGAATAGTGTGAAGTCAAAAGTCTTATGGGAGAGTAAGCAAAAAAAATATGCAAAAGCACCCCAGCAGAAAGGGTCAGCATTGGGGTACCTGCCTCACAGAGGTACCAATGTCAGGTACAGCAGCCCAGTAATATAGAACTGTCTTTTTTCTCTTCCAACCCCTACTTTCCTTGGGCATAATACTAAGAGGGACATAGAAGCATCAGGTGGTGAAGACAGAAAGAAGGGTTATGATGGAGAAAAAAAGAATAGACCATGAAGCCCTACTTCCACCTGGCAGAATTCAGGATCAACCCAAGCTAGGAAGTGGGAGAAGATGTAGATTAGATAAAAGATTCAAGATTATATGAGAGTGGACTTTTTAATACCCCAAAATGAGACTATTCTAGGCTCCAAAAGTGCCCAGAAAAGCCTTAGAATCTGCACAAGATGTTATCCTGGTGTGGGAGAAAGGAAATCTGACAGAAAATTTAAAGATGAGCAGGTCGTTTCCTGCTTGTATCTTATCAAGTACAATCCATTTAAGAAATCTGTTATAAGAGCATTTTTGTTTCTTTTTCCATTCTCTGTGTCCTTGTAGAATCATACTTATTCCATCATTTCAGTGGGATTTCAGGTGAGTGGAAAGATGGCCACATGTGCCCAGTCCCTTTTTGAACCACAAGTCAGTGTAACTGCCTTATTTGTTTATTTTTATTTTTTGGACCAAAAACTCCTCCGGAAAGGACTAAGTTGACCTACTGATATTTGAGTGATAAATCAATAGATAGCAGAAAAGTCCAAATTTCCACTTCAATAGTGGGCATATTCCACTTAGATAAGTTCACCTAAGAGGAAAGTTTTAGCCAAGTATGGTGGTGCACACTTACGGTTCCAGCTACTTGGGAGCCTGGGAGATTGAGGCTGTAATGAGCCATGATTGAGCCACTGAACTCCCACGTGAATGACAGAGCGAGACCCTATCTCAATAAAAAAAAGAAAGAAAGAAAACAAAACAAACAAAAAAAGAAAAACTGTGGTCCATTACCTTGTAGCTAACCATCTGAACTAATTTCTCAGAAGGAATAATCATTGACTGTCACATCTGCCACCTAGTGGCCACTGTGATGCGCACATTATGCTAATATTACCATACTTAGCCTACACCTTTTCATTCTTGATCCCAGCATCCATCATTCATTCCTTCACCCATCCATCTATCCATCCATTATCCCTTCATCCATCCATCCCCCCATCATTCATATTCACTCACCCATCCATCCATCGTGCCTTCATCCATCTGTCTACACATATATGCATGGTACACTTATTTGGGTCAGGCTCTAGGCATGCAGATAAACAGAATAAACTGAGCCCTCGTCCTCCCTCAAGGAACTGATGATCCAGTGGGGGAGAAAAACTTGTATTTTTTTCTTTGATGGAGGATTCTAAAAGCTAAGCCTCCAATGTCCAAGTCTGTGTTTCAACCTTCTTTAAAAAAAAAATCTCGGATACAAGCACGTGATGAGGAAAGAGGTTCCTTCTTTGCCACGTTTACTGTGAGAATGAAGACTATTCTCAGCAATCAGACTGTCGACATTCCAGAAAATGCCGACATTACTCTGAGAGGATGAACAGTTATCGTGAAGGGTCCCAGAGGAACCCTGCGGAGGGACTGCAATCACATCAATGTGGAACTCAGTCTGCTTGGAAAGAAAAAAAAGAGGCTCTGGGTTGACAAATAGTGGGGTAACAGAAAGGAACTGGCTATCATTCGGACTATTTGTAGTCATGTACAGAACATGATCAAGGGTGTTAGGCTGGGCTTCCCTTACAAGATGAGGTCTGTGTATGCTCACTTCCCCATCAACCATTATCCAGGAGAATGGGTCTCTTGTTGAAATCCGAAATTTCTTGGGTGAAAAATACATCCGCAGGGTTTGAATGAGAGCAGGTGTTGCTTGTTCAGTGTCTCAAGCCCAGAAAGATGAATTAATCCTTGAAGGAAATGACATTGAGCTTGTTTCAAATTCAGCAGCTTCAATTCAGCAAGCTACAACAGTTAAAAACAAGGATATCCAGAAATTTTTGGATGGTATCTATGTCTCTGAAAAAGGAACTGTTCAGCAGGCTGATGAGTAAGACCTTAGAGTTGTCCAGCTACAGAAACAAGATCCCTATCATAGCTAAGACCTACTCATGATACTTAAATGATGCAATAAAAGACCTATTAATTTGGAAAAAAAAATCTCAACTGGCTTCCTCCCTGTAATTTAATGAGATACTTAAGTCTTTGCAATAATAAAGGGGGAAAAAGCCAAAAGACAAACAGTTTATAAATCATACTACCCCTAACAATTTTCTTATTTCTTTCCTTTTATTCACAGCCAAGTTTCTTCACACTGGACTCTACATCCTCTGAAATTCTTTTCTCGTGTCTAACTCATTTTTGTGGTTCTGTTTCTTTATTTTTAATATATTTTATTGTAAAATAATTAAGAATGTTCAGAAAACAAGCATAATATAATTACCTATGTATTCATCATCTACTTTTTATCAGACATTATGTCTTTGTTTTTTCCTTAGATCTTTTTTCTCTAAGAAATAAAATATCACAGATAGTGACTTTCTCAGTTCCTTCTTTCTGCTCCCTTCCTGCTCCTTCCCCTTCTCTTTCTGCAGAGAAAACCATGGTCATGACCATAACTGCATGCATGTGCTGACACTTCTGCTACCCATTTATGTATCCATAGCAGTGGATATTATTATGAATGTTTGTAAACTTGGCAAATCATTATGAATGCTGCTTTTTTAAAAACTCAAATTTCTATTTATAGTTTTTCATGTGTATCCATATTCAAACACAAACTCTAGTTCATTTTCACAACTGTGTATTATTCTACCGTATGAAGGTATCACAAATAATATGTATCTATTCTTCTTTTGATGAATCTTTAGGTCATATTCAGTGTTTTTCTATTTCAAATAATGCTTGCCATGAACACTATCATGGGCATCTTGTCCACATGTGCAGTTATGAAGCATGGACCTTCTGTGTTACCCCCAGGAGTTCTCTATATCAAGGATTTTCAATAGCAGGCGGGTGCCATGGCTCATGCCTGTAATCTCAACACTTTGGGAGGCCAAGGCAGGTAGATCACCTGAGGTCAGGAGTTAAAGACCAGCTTGGCCAACATGACAAAACCCTGTGTCTACTAAAAATACAAAATTCAGCCAGGCATGGTGGTGGATGCCTGTAATCACAGTTACTCAGGAGGTTGAAGTAGGAAGATTTGCTTGAACACAGGAGGCAGAGGTTGCAGTGAGCCGAGATCGTGCCAATGCACTCCAGCCTGGGTGACAGAGCGAGACTTAGTCCCAAAACAAGAAAAAAAGAAAAGGATATTCAAGTACCCATGACATCTTCCACTAGCAACAAGAAATGTGCCTGTTCTTGTACTACATTGTGTCCTTTGTCCACACAACCTGGTAACAGGGGTGAGTCACCTAAGTTGATTCCACTGTGTAATAAGTACATGTCTGAAGATTCAGAATCACAGCAGGACTATTTGTTCCTCTCTACCGCTAAAAAAAAAAAAAAAAAAAAAAAAAAAAAAAAAAAAAAAACAAAAACAAAAACAAAAACAAACTATAGGAGGCCATTGTTTTGGGCTAAACTCCTACACTAGGCTCCAGTAAACCAGACTAAAAATTAGAATGCAATTTTACCAATACTCACTGAACGGAAACTGAGTTGTCGTCTGGCCTTCCAAGAAATCAGGAGACAGAGAGAGAATGTAATGCCCAAAACAGGCCAGTATTAATCTTCAATCAGTATGCTAATAAAGTTCCCTCTGTTTTACCCCCGCAACGAAGAGTAACATGTAGTAACCTGATGTTAACTAATCAGTTTTTTTTATTGCTGTTTCCCTGTCCCTACCTTGCAAAGAAAGTAACTTTGAAATGACCAATCCAGTTTTTGCTTTTTGTTTCTGCTTTTTTTGGCCCCTTTTTCTGGCTATAAAGCCAACCACCTCTGTTCAGCTCATTGGAACTCATTCTATTTTAGGGAATAAAGTATTGCCCAATTCTGGAATCACAATAAAGCCAATTGAGATCTTTAAATTTGCTTACAATTGTCTTTTGACAGATCTGGTGACCATGAAGTTACCTGAAGGAGACTGCTGATGACCTGAGACACCATTAGGAACACAGAAAAGGTACTACTAACCTCTTTGAGCAGGGGGCAGTGGGAGGGGTGTCCTCTGTCTTCCTCAAGGAGCCCAAGGAACCCTAAGAGTCCTAAGTCCCTCTCAGATCTGAGCTCTGCTCACTTTTGCATTTGATGCCCTGATCCCTTTGGCTTTCAGGGAGTATCAAAGGTTAGTTTGCACTACGAGAGAACATTCGACCATGGGATAGCAGGGGTTAGTTTGTGCTATTGTAGGATGTGTGGTCTTTTGGATTACAGTGATTGACAAGTCACTGGCCAAAAAGGGCCAGTTTCTAAGGTAACTGATGGCAGTAAGTGGTTATTACTGAAGGTCCTCTTTATTTCTGCTCTTCATGCAGATCAGGATGTCAGGGTTAAAGGCATCTCAGCCCCCAGAGACTCAAGATCCAATATAAAAATGGTTAAATTTCTGAAGTTCCAAGTACTCTGCCTTCCAGCTGTACCTGCCTTTTATGTATGGGAATTATGGCTCTGAAAGCTGCAAATTTTACAACAGTGACAAAATAACACTAAAAACAATTCAGAATTATAATGGCCATTACATAGAATGCTCTTGATGAACAATACCACACTTTTTAAATTTTTAAATTTTTTAAAAAATATATATAAGGTCTTTCTATGTTGCCCAGGTTGATCTCAAACTCCTAGGCTGAAGCCATTCTCCCACCTTGGCCTCCTGAGTAGCTGGGGCTACAGGCAAGAGCCACTGCACCTGGTTCAACATTGTGTCAGCAGCAGTGAATCTACACAAGTCTGCAGCAACTCCATTCCTGCCTCCTTAAAGGAAAGAATTTATCTGAGGGGCATAAGGCACAGCAGGAGTGAAAGTTTATTTAAAAATTTTTAGAGTAGAAATGAAAGGAAGTAAAGTACACTTGGAAAAAAGCCAGGCATGCAACTTGGGAGATTCAAGTGCCTCCCCTCGACTTGGAGTTTATATGTTGCTATAATCCAGGGTTTGCACTTCTTCTCCACTTATTCTTCCCTTGGGGTGGGCTGTCCACATGTGAAGTGGCCTGCCAGGACTGGGAGGGGGCGCATGCACAGTGTGTTTGCTGAAATTTGCACATGCTCATTTGAGGCATTTTCCCTCTACCAGTCAAGTGTTCCTAGAAGAGGGTCACATACCAGTTAAACTCTGCCATCTTGCCTTTCAGTGTGCATGCTTGGGCCCAGTCGCCATACTCCTAAGATCTTATCCGGAAGGTGCTGCTCATCAGCTTCAGATGTTTTCTATCTATTGGGAGATGGCCTTTCCCTGGCACCAGCTGTGACCAATTATAACGTTAGCGAGACAGTTTAACAACTGCCTGACCATTACTTGATAGTCGCCTGACATTCCTGGTGGAGGGGGGCCTCTCCTGCTCTGCTCATGTCTGCCTAACTTCTCACGCCCATGGAAGGGGTAGCTATTGCTTTCCTGATAATCTCATTTCTTGTCCTGAGAACTTGGCTTGACTTTTCATCTGTTGGGAGTACATGGGTCGTTAGGCCTGTATATATAGGTGGCTAATGAAAAGGCTAGGAGCCTCAAGAATATAGCTAGACAGAAATGCAGCTGCATCCCATTTGCAGCTAGCAAAATATGGCCAGACAGAAATGTGAGTTGCACCTTATTTGCAGGTAGACTGATTGTGATAAAGGAGATAGAAATTATTTAGAGGCAAGGTGTGATGGCTCATGCACTTGGGAGGCCAAGGCACTTTGGGAGGCCGAGGCAGGTGGATTACCTGAGGTCAGGAGTTTAAGACCAGCCTGACCAACATAGTGAAACCCCATCTCTACTAAAAATACAAAAATTAGCTGGGCGTGGTGGCATGTACCTGTAATCTCAGCTACTTGGGAGGCTGAGACAGGAGAATCGCTTGAACCCTGGAGGCGTATGTTGGAATGAGCTGAGATTGCACCACTGCACTCCAGCCTGGGCAACAAGAGTGAAACTCCATTTCAAAATAGAAAGAGGGGGGTGGGGAGAGAGAGAGAGAAAAGAAGGAAGAAAAGGAAGGAAGGAAGGAAAGGCAGGCAGGAAGGAAGGAAGGAAGGAAGGAAGGAAGGAATTATTTAGGCAGATAATGAGGACAGAATCCTCAACAGAACTTCCCTTTTAACAAAACTCATGTCTTTTCTAACAAAGAGCAGCCTGAAAGATCAAGCTGCAAAACATAGAAAAGGAAGCTGGAAGCTTGCATGGGGGAATGCCAGCAACTGCACCAACAGAAAAGGGCTACCTGGGAGACAGGCATGTCTGCCATGGAAGCTCCATCTTCCCATTTTTGTTAGCACATGTACAGTAAGAAAGAAATGGGCAACATGGAGAAGCTCAGACAGAGAACTCACTTGCATAATGAAAGATTGGGGTGGGGGCTGCCAGAGATTTGTACCCTATGCAGATTTGCACCCTATGCAGATAACACACCTGTTCCTAACAGATTTTTTGCATCCTATGTAGATCAAACATTGCCTCCCCATCAATTCATCTATAAAAACCACTGCGTTTCACCATGAATTGGCAACCCATGATTCCGGGACAGCTCTCTGTAGCAGAAAGCTATTCTCTTTCTTTCATCGGTTAAATTTCCCCTTTTAACCTTACTCTTTGTGTGTCTGCATCCTTGATCTCCATGGCCACAAGGTAATGAACCTCAGGTGTCGTTCCAGACAATGAGGCTGCTTCAATTGTTGCAGCTCTCCAGGCATTATTTGAGTCTCTGGGTTTTTGTTTTGTTTTGTTTTGTTTTTGTTGTTTTTTTTTGGCTGTTTTCGGGGATTGGCTCTGGAAGAGCTAATCTACAGGGCTCCCAGATTAGACCCACCCAGGGATGCCTTCAGTAGGTATAAGCTTCTAATAGTGCCTTCGATAGTGCAGAAGCTTCTAAAAGTATTTAAAAAAAAAATTATTGCTTCTTTTTGTTGTTAAGAACAAACAGCTTCTCTTCAAAGGATTTTGGTTTTTGATTCTTTGTTCTTTTCTATAAAGTAATCTTACCCATTCATCTATCAGCCCTCCATATCTCTGCTGTGACCAAACACGCCCAAGCATTTCTCATCACCTATGTAACTGCCCTTCTCGTCAAAAGCCCACCCTTGTCCCTTGATGATGTCAACAGTAGCCAATCAGAGTTAGCCTAGATCAGGTGTCCCCAAACTTTATACACAGGGGGCCAGTTCACTGTCCCTCAGACCGTTGGAGAGCCGCCACATACTGTGCTCCTCTCACTGACCACCAATGAAAAAGGTGCCCCTTCCTGAAGTGCGGTGGGGGGCCGGATAAATGGCCTCAGGGGGCCGCATGCGGCCTGCCGGCCGTAGTTTGGGGACGCCTGGCCTAGATTGTGTGATCTGACCCCAGCCCACAGGGGAGGACACAAGAACAGGGTCCGTGTTAGGGAATTAAAACTGCTGCTCTCCTTTGTTCAAGGCGCACTCCCTTGCCTCTGCCTGGCATGCAGGAAATGCCCTTCTATAGAAGTAAATTGCCTTGCATTTACCTTTATATCCCACATTTTGAATGGCTTTTTCCAAAATAATAAATAAAAAGCTTAAGGGATTGATAAGAAAATTAAATCTGCTGACCTTTTTGTTTAGCCCTGTTCATTAAAGAATTGCGTCCTAAAGTCAGTAATCTAATTAAAAAATAAGTTAAATTGAAAAGACTGCCCATTGAACTAACTTAGTCTCCAAAATACAACTTTCTTCATTTAGATAGCTGTTTTGAAATCTTTGTTAAAAAAATTTACATCTGTAAATGAAATCTTCATTTGTAAGGGTATCTTCCTCTCTGTACCTAAACCACAATAGGAAAGACGCTGGTTTGAAGTTTACATAACGAACCTCTTGTTTAAGGTACTTTTCCTGGCCATCTTGTCTTAACTGAGTCTTTTAACTATGCCCTTATCTCAGCAAATAACACCATTTAGACATACAAGTTCTATAAATTTTCCACCATGTTTCACACAAATATCATGCCTTTGGAAATGCAAATTTAAGGCCACCTACCTAACAATTGTTTAGAGCAAGGAACAAGCAATCACAAGATTGATAATCTAAAATGGGGAGATTGAGATTTTGAAAACTGGAAAATGCAGAATATTTATTATTTATTTTTGAAACAATGTCTCACTCTGTGACCCAGGCTGGAGTACAGTGGCACAATCATAGTTCACTGTAACCTTGAACTTCCAGGCTCAAGCAATTCTCTCACTTCAGCCTTGGAGTAGCAGGGACTACAGGAGCATACCACCATGCCCAGCTAATTTTATTTTGTAGAGATGGGGCCTCACTATGTTGCCTAGGCTGGCTTTGAACTCCCAGCCTCAAGCGATTCTCCAACCTGAACCTCGAAAATGGCTGAGATTACAGGTATTTAAAAATAACAAATCTCGGCCGGGCGCGGTGGCTCAAGCCTGTAATCCCAGCACTTTGGGAGGCTGAGGCGGGTGGATCACGAGGTCGAGAGATCGAGACCAACCTGGTCAACATGGTGAAACCCCGTCTCTACTAAAAATACAAAAAATTAGCTGGGCATGGTGGTGCGTGCCTGTAATCCCAGCTACTCAGGAGGCTGAGGCAGGAGAATTGCCTGAACCCAGGAGGCGGAGGTTGGGGTGAGCCGAGATCGCGCCATTGCACTCCAGCCTGGGTAACAAGAGCGAAACTCCGTCTCAAAAAAAAATAAAAATAAAAAAAAAATAAATCTCAGGACCCCAAAATCACTAAGCCAAAGAGAAAAGTCAGGCTGAGAGCTTCGAAGGGCAAACCTGCCTCCCATTCTATTTCTAAATAAAATGGCTACAAAGATTTTAAAAAAAAATTAAAATTAAAATTAAAAATAATATTTTAAAAAGCTGCATACTTCCCACACAATTTGTCCGCAAAAAAATTCCTCGTGGACAAAGGACAGACAGAACTCAAAGCCATCCTTCTGCTCACGGAAGACAAATGCAAAGCTGATTGCTTCTTTTGATTCAGTGGAAGGC